CGGGCTCGAACGGCGGGAGCAAGTGGTCGGTCATGAAGGCGAGGACGAGCGGCTTGAGGTGGGAGGGGAAGGGAGGTCGCGGCAGGATCGGCCGCTGTAGGGGACGGTGGCGGCGGCAGTCCAATGGGGGAGAGGGGAGAGGGGTTAGGGTTTGGGATTCGGGTCGTGGGCGAGGAGTGGTGTGCGGGGGAGAGGATGGGAGGGGGAGGAGCGGTGTGCGGTGGGTGAGTGGTGGCTTTCAGCCACTGACAGGTGGGCCCGCATGAAATAGGCCCACATGTCAGTGTCATTAACGGCATGTGGTGTAGGTGAAGGAAGCTGCTTCCGGCTGGGTGTGGGTGGGGAGAGGGTGAGGGGTGTGGGCCGTTGGATCCGGCAGTATCCGACGGTCTCTAATGCTTGATCCGCGTGACATGTCCGTAGACCAATCAAAACGAAGTGCAGGTTTTGATGACGTTATGACCATCTAGAATGGTCGTAATCAATTTTCCATTTTTTGAATGCCCAAAATGAGTCTTTTTTGTGAAAGATCTACCATATATTTGTTACAAAATTGGATCAAATCAATTTATAAAATATTAGAACATATTTAATGCACAATTGACCAAATAGTTGGGTGTCAAAAGTTTCGAACCACCTCTGGTGAAAAACATAAATTTTCGCCAATTCAGCTCGAAGCGGGTCAAATTTGAACTGCAGATGCCTCATAGTTTGCTCTTTATTTTTTCCAAAAATTATTTCTAGGTACATAAGTATCTATTTAATCAGAGAAATATCAAAAGTTTTCCAAGATTCAACCACTAGCTAGGAACGGTCAAGCCCACGGTTTTGACCGCATTTTGAAACAGGCATAAAAAATTCAAAAAAATCAAAAAATTGGAAAACCTTCGCATTGTGTCATTATATGTGACCAAGTTACCAGGAAAAATAATAAACTTGTAATACGAAAATTATTTTAAACAAATGTTCTCGGAAATGAGCTATCATGCGCGAAGATTCATGGCTTTCAAGCCAAATGATCAATCTTATGGCCACATTCATGTCATAGTTTGTTCAAATGATCCCATATTGTGCACAAGGGTGCATATTGAAATTCCAAACAATGTTGCCTAAGGGACTTTTTATTTTCTTTGCACGGAAAATTCATTTTCCATTTTCTGAGTGCCCGAATTGAGTTCTTTTTGTGAAGGACCTACCATATATTTGTTGTAAAATTGGACCCAATCATTTTTCTAAAATACTAGGCCATATTTGATTCACAATTTACCAAATGTTTGGGTGTCAAAAGCCTTGATCCACCTCTGGTGAAAAAGACAAATTCCCGCCGATTCAGTAGGAAGCGGGTCAAATTTGAACTGCACCTGCCTCATAGTTTGCTCTTTATTTTTTCAAAAAATCATTTCTAGATACATAAGTATCTATTTAATCAGAGAAACATCAAAAGTTTTCCAAGATTCAACCACTAGCTAGGAACGGTCATACCCGCTGTTTTGATCGAAATTCGAAACGGGCATAAAAAATTCAAAAAAATGAAGAAAAAAAATGGAAAACCTTTGCATTGTGTCATTATATGTGACCAAGTTTCCAGGGAAAATAACAAACTTGTAATACGACAATTATTTTAAAAAAGTATTCTCAGAAATGAGCTATCATGCGTGAAGATTCAGGGCTTTCAAGCCAAATGATCAAACTTATGGCCACATTCATGGCATAATTTGTTCAAATGATCCCATATTGTGCACAAGGGTGCATATTGGAATTCCAAACAATGTTGCCTAAGGGACTTTTTATTTTCTTTGCACGAAAAATCCATTTTTCATTTTCCGAGTGCCCGAATTGAGTTCTTTTTGTGAAGGACCTACCATATATTTGTTGCAAAATTGGAGAAAATCATTTTTCTAAAATACTAGGCCATATTTGATTCACAATTTACCAAATGTTTGGGTGTCAAAAGCCTTGATCCACCTCTGGTGAAAAAGACAAATTCCCGCCGATTCAGGAGGAAGCGGGTCAAATTTGAACTGCATCTGCCTCATAGTTTGCTCTTTATTTTTTCAAAAAAATCATTTCTAGATACATAAGTATCTATTTAATCAGAGAAACATCAAAAGTTTTCCAAGATTCAACCACTAGCTAGGAACGGTCAAACCCGCCGTTTTGATCCAAATTCAAAACGGGCATAAAATTCAAAAAAATCAAAAAATTAGAAAACCTTCGCATTGTGTCATTATATGTGACCAAGTTTCTAGGAAAAATAACAAACTTTTAATACGGCAATTATTTTAAAAAGTGTTCTCGGAAATGAGCTATCATGCGTGAAGATTCATGGCTTTCAAGCCAAATGATCAATCTTATGGCCACATTCATGGCATAGTTTGTTCAAATGATCTCATATTGTGCACAAGGGTGCATATTGGAATTCCAACCAATGTTTCCTAAGGGACTTCTTATTTTCTTTGCATCGAAAATTCATTTTCTATTTTCTGAGTGCCCTAATTGAGTTCTTTTTGTGAAGGACCTATCATATATTTGTTGCAAAATTGGACCAAATCATTTTTCTAAAATACTAGGCCATATTTGATTCACAATTTACCAAATGGTTGGGTGTCAAAAGCCTTGATCCACCTCTGGTGAAAAAGACAAATTCCCGCCGATTCAGGAGGAAGCGGGTCAAATTTGAACTGCATCTGCCTCATAGTTTGCTCTTTATTTTTTCAAAAAATCATTTCTAGATACATAAGTATCTATTTAATCAGAGAAACATCAAAAGTTTTCCAAGATTCAACCACTAGCTAGGAACAGTCAAACCCGCCGTTTTGATCGAAATTCGAAACAGGCATAAAAAATTCAAAAAAATCAAAAAATTGGAAAACATTCGCATTGTGTCATTATATGTGACCAAGTTTTCAGGAAAAATAACAAACTTGTAATACGTCAATTATTTTAAAAAAGTGTTCTCAGAAATGAGCTATCATGCGTGAAGATTCAGGGCTTTCAAGCCAAATGATCAAACTTATGGCCACATTCATGGCATAGTTTGTTCAAATGATCTCATATTGTGCACAAGGGTGCATCTTGGAATTCCAAACAATGTTGCTTAAGGAAGTTTTCATTTTCTTTGCATGGAAAATTCATTTTCTATTTTTTGAATGCCCAAAATGAGTTTTTTTGTGAAGGAGCTACCATATATTTGTTGCAAAATTGGACCAAATCATTTTTATAAAATATTAGGCCATATTTAATGCATAATTGACAAAATGGTTTGGTGTCAAAAGTTTTGATCCACCACTTGTGAAAAAGACAAATTTCTGCCGATTTAGTAGGAAGCGGGTCAATTTTGAACTGCATCTACCTTATTGTTTGCTCTTTATTTTTTCAAAAAATCATTTCTAGTTACATAAGTATCTATTTAATCATAAATACATGGTTTGGTGGCGATACGTCGAGGTTTGGATGTGGCCCAGGGCCTCAACTCCAAAGCGCGTAAACTCGCATGCCCGCCGCGTGGTCACCACGTGACCTTGGTGTTGACATGCGTTCTGGGAGGCCTAGGCATATTTAGTGGGTTGGGCACTCCCCAGGTAGGTGCTAGGAAGAAAATTACAACAGAAGAATCTCACGAGGAGACTGCCCTATGCTCAAAGATGAATTAGCAGCCAAGTGTTTGATTAGCGGTACGGGAAATGCACATGGCCAATGGGCGTGAATTTTGGCTGAGGATGATAATATACTAAAGAGAATGTCTTCACAAATTTTTAGCTCAAAAGGAGGATCCTAGGTGGTACTTGCTTTGCAAAGTACCACGCTGAACAAAAATATGAATGTTGAAGCTGGGCTCAAAATAATGAATGGATTTAGCTGAAATTTGGTGGAGGATGGTTATTTGGGCATAGGAAAGCATTGTAGAAAATTGATACCATTTGGACATGCCAATGTAGTACTTCCTTCACAATGCTCTTCTATGGACAGAAACTTGGGAAAACTAGTGAGAGAGATTGGATGAATGAAATGAGCTCAGAATTGGTGTAGGTAAGTTACATAGGTTTGGTCATGCGCTGGTAAATTTTCAGATCATTTGGGTAAACCTAGCTAGTACTTACTTCACAAAGCTTCTCTCGAGGTAGAAACTTTGGAAATTTCCTGAGAAAGATTTACTAGGAAAATTGAGCTGAATATTATCATGTGGCAATGATTTGGGTATGGAAGAGTGCCCAAAAATTTTGAGAGTAATAGGAGGGGTCTAGATAACACTTGCTTTGCAACGTGCCAATTTGGCCATAAAATATAAATTGAACATGGGCTCACATAGATGATTTTACTGAGCTGCAATTTGGAGGAGGGTGATAATTTGGGCATATGAAGGAACTGTATAAATTTCATGTCATTTCGATATATAAAAAGGTACTTCCTTCACAATGCTTCTAGGTGGACAAAAACTTTGGAAATTTGCCGAGGAAGATTTGCTAGGCAAATGGAGCTTAATTTTGTCATGCGGTAATGATTTGGATAGGAAAGAGTTCCCAAAAATTCTGAGGGCAATCAAGTATATATAAATA